GAAATCACCAAAACAAACACGCCCCTACCCCAAAAGGGTCTCGCCCCTATTTTGATAGCTCCGCCCCACACATATGTACGCAACCTTGGCAACGATTAATTCTGTGAAACAAAGCAAAACCAATGTTAAACCGTGTCTACACCGGACGCGAGTGGCGCGGCGCGACAAAATACTATAGAACTCATTATAATCAGTGATGCTGTCTACACCATAGATATATATACATATCTTTGGTCTACTGGATGCGGCGCGGCACGGCACGACACGACATGACAAATCCCCGACAGAAAACTGCTGCTGCGTTTCAAATGAAATTCAAATTTCAAGTGATTTTCAACGTTCGCTTTGTCGCGTCCAGTGTACTTGACAGACTTTAGCTGTTGTGGCCCAGACACGGTGTTACTCACCTATCGAGAAGAAACAAAGCAACCTCGCCGTCCGATCGCAGTCCTTCCGCTCCTTGAGTTGTCTCCAGCCCTGGAAAGCTGATCCGATATTTACACGGGTCCTGCTTCTTGCCTTAAGCCTTCTTTTGTTCCGCAGACATTTTCCTCTTTTATTTTTTATCCGCTATCTCTATCTTTCTGTCGCTTGGCTCGCTAATGTTCGTCCTGCGCACTGAACGCTCTCTCCTCCACATCATGAGTAGACACGCCCCTTACTGCTGATTGGCTACAAGTTTGTTTTGCTATTCGGCCCGAATCAGTTTTCTAAAGCGTTTTTGAAAAATCGTTTACCCCACCTTTAAAGGGATAGTTCACCCAAAATTGAAATTACTCCATGAGTTACTCACCCTCAAGCCATCCTAGGTGTGTATGACTTTCTTCTTTCAGACAAATACAATCGGAGTTATATTAAAAAATGTCCTGGCTCTTCCAAGCTTTATAATGGCAGTGAATCAGCTGGAACAGCACTCTCTCGTGTGGAAGCGGAAGCTAGAGATTATGGTTTATAAAGTTCTAAATATGGATATTTTCCCAACAAACACACATCATTTCACTTCAGGAGGCATTTATTAACCCCCTGAAGCCATGTGGAGCACTTTTTATGATGGATGGATGCACTTTATTGGACTTCTATTGAACTAAACCTTGGAGAGAGCCAAGACATTTGTCAATATAACTATAAGTTGTATTCGTCTGAGAGAAGAAAGTCATATGGATTGAGAGTGAGTAAATCATGGGGTAATTTTCATTTTTGGGTGAACTATGCCTTTAAAAATGTCTTCATTAGTCATACAGGTTTGAACGGTGTGGGGGAGTAACCAATGACAGATGAAATGTCCCTTTAAAGAAGTACTTTAGAGCAGTTGTGTTCAGTTTACATAACTAAAAACTGGTGACATCAGCAGAAATAAAAAAAATTCACACCACATCCAGAATATCTGCAGGCTGATTAGAATTGAACTCACTGATCAAGCAAGAGTCTTTCATAGGTCTTCATCCTCACAGTCAGTTAGCATTTGTGATGCATTAAGCAACATTTTCGTTGCCAGTTTTGCATTTTGTTACGTTTGAGCCTAGAAAGGTCAAATAACATCTGTGAAAGATTAAATTAAAGCTCAGTCTTGTCACTGTGTGGGTCCCTGTGAAGCAGTGCTGTTGTTAATGAGTGTTGCATCAAGGGCTCAATGTTAGCAACCGCTCTTCAAAGCCACCCCAGTGCAGCCTGTGGGAGGGGATGGAGAGCAGAGGCACACATGTTCACCACACGTTCTGCACTGAAACATCCTCGTGCTCTTCACACATACCAATCACAGCAACCTCATCATCAGGAAACGGACTGGAGGAGGAGATGGAGAAGGGGAGGGGAGAGGCGAGCGGGAGGAATAAGGAATGAAGGTGAAGACTAGATGGAGGAGGAAGAAAAAGGTGAGCTGTAAGAAGCAAAGGAAATGGGTATGAGATAACAGCAAATAAAAATGGAAGAAGGGATGGATATAAGGTGATGACATTTAGAGAAATGTAAATAATGGAGGAGGTATTGGCGAGAAGCTAGGAGACGGTCATCACAAACATTCAAGCTGCTATCATGAACTGCTCCTCACAACTGTGAGTCAGAATCTGTGACTAGCACCACGCAAAGAGACCAGTCATCTGTGACTGTACCTCACACTCACACACTCATGCTGTTACATCCCTTCCTTCTGCACAAAGAACTCAACTGTAGCGCTGCAACTGGTACAACCTGGCACAAAACCATTTGCTTCTGACTAATGATAAATACACTACTTTATAGCCATTTTGTTCATTGCACTTTTTTACAGGATTATTATTACTACTTTTCCATTTTCAATTATATTCTATTGTGATAGAATCCAGCTAAATAGACATATATAGAAAACAAACAAAAAAATGCACACTAGCGTTCAAAATTTTCGGGGCAGGAAGATTTTTTTTTTTTACAGGAATAAATACTTTTATTCAGCAAGAACACATTAAATTTTAATAAAAAGAGACCGTAAGACATTCATAATGTTTTCTATTAAAAACTAAACCCCTAAAATAAAGATTTATGTTTAAAATAAATGCTTTTCTTTTTAACTTCCTATTCATTAAAAAATCCTAAAAAAAAAATAAAAAAAAAAGAATTCTGAAGGATCATGTGACACTGAAGACTGGAGTAATGATCCTGAAAATTCAGCTTTGTATCACAGGAATAAATTACACTTTAAAATGCAGTATATTAAAATAGAAAAAAGTTATTTTAAATTGTTATAATATTTAGAATGGTATGTAAATATATAAATAACAAAACAACGACACAAGTCCAAACTGAAAGGCCATCACCAAACATTCAGTATCTAAAATCCATTATTTGCCAACTCTAGTGTACACTATTTGGTGTGCATCTTACCAACCCCAAACAGTAGTGTACATTAATAACAGAAAAAATAAAGATAACCAAAAAATATATAGAACCTACAAAAACAACTAAATCATGACGTACATAATTTATAAAACATGTACAAAATGTTTAAAACATCAATGTCAAACAATGTTTTAGGCTAACACTTAAAACATCTGATATAATGTAATAGCATAGTTCCACATTATAATGCACAAGTCATTGAGAGGTGATTACATACAGCTAAACATTGTGCGTTTGCAGCATGCAGCAGTAATGATTTGTATTTTGGTTTGAATCTGCACTGAAGGTTTAGAAAGACGATGAGTCCTTCCCCTTTGTGCCCACTATCAATCAGAAAAAATCACCAATTGTCACCACTGCTGACTCCTGCATACTGCTCACCATGTTTAGCAAGCAAAACAGTCACACGGCCTAACTCGGTATAAAAACATTCTGTGACAACTCAGTGAGCTGGCATGGGATTCATTTCTGAAATCAAATGAAATAATCTGTGATTTTAATAATCACATTAATAATCCAGATGTGCAGTACATGAACCTACGGCCATGCACAACATCAAGATTTCCTGAAAAAGAAGTAGGCAAACTGAGGCAGGTCCACTGCCGTCCACTGAGACTATACAGACTCATTTTAAATGTCAAAAAGCCTTGAGGCACCACAATTCATTATGGATTCAATTGAATGTGCAAAGGAAGCCAATCATCTGAACAAAAAAGCAAGCGTCAACCAAGAACGGCTGCACATGGTTGAAAAAAATACTATAATTTGTCATGTAGAGAAAATACTTAAATACTACCAAAAGCTCAAGCCAATCTCAAAATGACCCTGATAAATCCAGATATCTTTGTTAAAGTCTGTGTACCCCACAGATCCAAAACACTACCTGCACTACATCCTTATCTTAAACACCACCCTGCTTTAACTGAAAGGAAAGGCCTCTTCAGCATCCTCAGATTGTTAAACATGGATTGCCATGGTGACAGCAAAGGAAATGAGCATTTTTATAGCCGTAATTTCTGCTGTTTGTATTGTGCCTTCATACCAGCCTAATGACATGAGAAAGCACATTCAGGGGTCCATCCTCTCCTGAGTGATTCTTATTAAAAAGAAAACATAAAAAAGGCCTCCTAACAAACACAGTGTGGCCCAATTGGGCAGAAGAATAATAGAGGTCTCTGTAAATGAGAAAAAGATCATGAGGATTAGCCAAAGCACCTGTGATTCCTCTCATTATGATGTTTGTTTTGGTCACGCTCTAAATACAGGCAGTTCTCTGGAGCAGATAAGCTGAAGTGACAGATCAACTCAACGATCACCATGAGAGACACGTTTTAATGTAGCATTAAATAAATCCTCATGGGAGTCAATCATGTTTTCATTATGTTGCCACTTTAAATAGATTTATTAATGAATGCATTAGAACTATGTTATTGAGAAAGTCCACAGACACATGCTATATTTTGTTGTCAGAGAGCTGAACGCAATTGAATGCAATAAAGCAGGAGCAGAACTCACACAGGGCAGTGGATATTGACTAGTCACTCTCCATTAGACAGATTTCTAGACAAAAGCATTTATTGGCAGCCCATGAAGAAGCACACATTGAACAACGCAGCCAAACCAGCGGAGCTAGAAATGCAAGGTCAAGATCTACAGTTAAGAAACCCAGTACTGCTCACTGCTTGAGACAAGAACTATGCTAGAATGATAGAACGTACATGAAAATCGATTATTAAATGATAAATAAAATAAAAATGAAATCAATTATTATTTTGATTAACAAACTAAACTGTGGGGGGGGGGGGGGGG